TTCAAATTACCTCTTTGCATTTTTCCAAAAGATCATTTTCTATTGAAGACAATTTCAGTGTATTTGTTTCTGATCGTAGAGCTAATCCATAACAAAAATTTTTAACAATTGAATAATAAATCAAATTATGTATAATATTATATATTATTGAATAATAATATACCATTACCTATTTTACCATATTTATGTTGATTAGCATGTAATTTACGTTTAGGTAGTATAGCAAAGTATACATGCAAATAAAATGTTAATTTTTTGTATTCTTCACATTGTTTAATACTATTGGAGAACAAGTTACTCCACAACTAGAAAGAAAGAAATATATCACAGTATATTAGGTACAGGTATTCAATATTGATCATAAGTATTTTTTTACTTGAAAAAACGTTGAATAATCTCCCATATTGTAGCATAGCATTAGTTGAACATAGGGATCTATTACTTTTCCTAATTTATGTTTCAAAGTTTGAAAGCCCATTTTTAAAGCTTCTTGAATTAAAGCTTCAGCAGTACTTTCAAAATTATGATCCAAAAGAAACTGCGAATGGTTTTTTAATACAAATTAAAAAAATATTTACAAATCAATCTAAATATGATATTAAAGTTATTGATATTTAAATGTTAAATATTATTATACCTTATGGATTACTTCAATATTTTTATCCGCCATTTGATTCTTCATGGACACAACTCAGTAATTACATATATATCTTATTCTGCCTAAAAGTATCATTATTATGAAGAGACCACTGTAAAACTTTACATTCAAATAATTACATATTAATCTAAGAACTTCCAATTAAAAAAAAAAAAAGTTAAAAGGTATCTAAGACAAATGAGAATTAGATGGATTAGGTGCAGTTAATAACTAAGAAACACATTGAGTCTATTCATACTTAGAAATAAATTACACTTTGTAGTTTATTGTAAATAATATCCAATTGTAATTTATTTTCAAATAAGAATAAACTTAATATGTACGCTTTATTAACTATGCATTCTTATTTGCCCTAGAAATTCTTATCTTTATTTCTTTAATATTGAATAATATTGAATTAAATGGCTTTTGTGTAATTTTTTATATATTTTGTGTAAACAACTTAAATAATCTATTTAATTAATATCAAAATGAAGATACTTAAATCATCCATTTAATTAATATGTAGCTTAGTTTACTTACCCCACTGACATTTAATTATTGTTCAATTTGTTCTCGCACACGTAATTCGGCAGGTATTTTTCTGATAAACTCATGCCGCAGAGAGCGTGTCAGTTGAGGTTCATTAATCGATTTTATGCAAATACACTATTGATCAGTATACAGTATACTCGAGCAACAGCAGCAATATATATTTCGCAATTGCCGCAGCAAAGCTTCATTTTTTATTATCAAAATTCGCGCTTGTTGTCACGAGTGATTTCTATATCACGACGTTTCGATATCTGCATAATGGAGTTAGTAATTTGTCGCCATGTGATCCGCGGAAGAAAACAAATGTTTGACGTTTACTGCGTACCTACGACCAAGGAGATTTCTGCTAGTTCTACAAACTGTCAAGTTTCGTCAATCTTCCTCGCACGCATGCGCACGTGTGCACGCGGTTCTCGACTGTCATAGTTGTTTACATTATCGTTCAACGACATTTATCGATCCGTAATAGTATATTCCATGTAATATATTCTCAGTATATTCCATGGAATATAGCTGGTGTATTATTACAATTTAGTTATAAAAATGATGCAAGAACAGAGTTCCCTGTTGCACAACGCTATCATCTCAGAGGTTTTATCTTATTGTTAATTTATTCATTTAACTCAGAGGTTATATTTCATTAAGAATTCTCTTGCAAATCACAGATACCTAGCACTGCTTGTTACATACCGAATTTTATTACTGAGGAAGAAGAGAGGCAAATTATAAAATGCGTAAACAGTGTACCGCAACCAAAATGGACGCAATTAAGTCACCGCAGATTACAGAATTGGGGTGGTGTACCACATTCCAAAGGGATGATAGCGGAAGCGATTCCTGATGTAGGTAGAATGTGAAATATTTTAACAATTAGTCTGGGTCTACAATGAGTCGGTAATTTTAGAAGTTAGCTACTGGCAAATTCTACTGATTCAATGATTTCAATCAATCCTAGCTCATTGATTCTCTTTTAGATTTGCTTCTAACTCAATAACTATAAACTACTGATTCATTGTAAATCCAGTCTTAGAATTTATTTAGAATTGAAAAAAGGCTGAAAGCATCTGTATATTTGTTATAAATATTTTATGTGCTTCATTTAAAATTATTAAATGAATGCACATAACATTGACAATGATATTTTAGTGGCTTCAGAAATATATTGATAAAGTGACAGCTTTGAGCATCTTTGAAAAAGGAGTATTGCCTAATCACATTTTAATTAACGAATATTTATCTGGACAAGGAATAATGGTATGTTAGAGATGAAACACAAGGATGTACTATATTTTTCTTTATTATAAAGTATGAATTAAACAAATTAAATAAAAAACAGGATTGTAAGAGTCAGCGCAAAGTTTTTTATTTAACTTGTTTTGAATTTCGAGAATTCTTTTATACTATTATAAATTATATTTATCTACATTAGAATAGAAAAAATACAAAAGTATGTACACAATAGAATCGCATATACTGAATAGTAACATGTAATGCCTTCATTAGGCACACTCGGATGGTCCACTTTTTTATCCTATTGTAACTACTATCAGTTGTGGTTCTCATACAGTCCTTGACTTTTACAAACGACTTGAAATGACAGAGGTAAATACTGAAATAAAGAAGATTGTAAAAATACGTAAAAATGCTATGTAATTGTACTTTGCGATTTATTATATATTATTTTTACAGCAACAACAATGCAAGTTAGAATTTAGTTTACTACTAGAACGCAGAAGTCTGTTAATTCTACAGAAGGATTTGTACTATAATTATTTACATTCTATAGCAGAAAGAGATGTAGATAGCATATCAGAATCTTCGATAAAGAATCTACATATGTGTGCAAAAAAGTTTACAGAAGAGGAAATAATAAAACGTGATACTAGATTATCTTTAACTATTAGGCACGTGCCGAAAACTAGCAAATTGAAATTAAAAATTTTTTGATATATATGTATGTCATAAAAATTTGGAAGACATATAATAAACAATAATGTTGTCATATGTTATGTTTTATGACTGTCGTTTCTAATTTATATGAAGTATACTTACTTCATGAATTATCACACGATATTTGCATATCTGTGTTTGTGTCATTCTCAAGGCTCACATCCATTACTTCCTCATCACCCTCATCTAACATTCCTTGTAGAGAGTGTATGGAGGATATTAGAACATGGAATTGTTTACGACGCATTTCTAACTTGTGCTCCAACTGTTCTGATTTTTCCTGTATATGAAAAATGATTATAAGATATATAACTAATCTTTTTGCAAATATTCCAATGAATTCTAAACATACTGGTACGTTTATAAAAGAATAGATAATTGGAATAAGGAATAATAGATTTCAATTTATTAGAAATTATGTATATTCTGATACATGATTTCTAGTAGATTAAAATATTTTATTCCCTGTTTCTATTGCCTGCGCTTTTCAAGATAGAGACATTGAAATTACTTCAAATGGAAAAAGTTATATGTGCCAATATATGTATATATTTTTTTTTCAAACCTTTAAAGCACCTAATTCTTGTTGCAATGTTTCAAGCTTGATATGTGTTTCCAAACGATCTGGTTGTTCATTAATGACTTTGGCTAGTACATCATACTCTATTCTATTTTTTCTCACACGTTTGGCATCTTGCAGTTCAGCTTTAGTTTTCTCTATGTCTTCCTTCGCCTTCTCTATTTGTACTTCAATTTCTTTTGATAGCTTCTCATAGCTTTTTAATTCTTCTCGACTCATGTTTGAAACTAATCTGGATTTTTTCTGTGCAAATTCGCATTGTGCTAATTGCGACAGCATTCTTTCGTGCAGCGTATTGTCTACATCGGAACTGTTGATCCATTTTATAAACGATTTCAATAACATATTAATTCTACGATCGTCTCCTGTTCCATCACCATCTATGAGTAATCGCCGACGTATTACTTCTTCTAAAATTTTTTATAAATAAAAAATTTATACATTTTACATATATACATTACGTTTATATAACATTTTATTGAAAGAAAAATGTATATAACCTTTTATTATACAAGTACTATTTGTAATTACTTATAGCAGTAAATATTGTAAACATTTTAAAAAATGCTACTCACCATCGTTAGACATTATTAGATGTTTTGTAACAATTGTAATTAAAAAAGATTACAATTTATATTAAAAAGAAATTTAAGATACTTAATTAAAACCAACTGAGACCGCAATGCAACCAACTGCAATTGACTGAGTGCAGAGTGTAGGTCGTGCAGGTGCAAGCATCAGGTCTGTTCTTTTGATTTACATCAGGAAATCGATTCTGAATCGATCTTGAAACGAGGTGAAAATGACAAAAGTGAGCGAATTTACTAGAATATTGATAATTTCATTGGTCAAAACTTAGTAAATTTGCTCACTTTTGTAATTTTCACCTTGTTTGAAAATACAGAATCGACCCTAGTTCATCTTTCCTCCTAGAGAGAAAAGGAAGAAAGATGAATTGGTGTTCAGTCAGAAAGAACAGGCCTATGATGAAAAATGCGTATAATAGCGTATAATATTGGAAACAGTCAAATTTACATCCAAATTCGCCTTCTACTGCACATCGGCGGGAACGTTTCATCTCTTATTACACATGGGTGCAAATATGTACATACAATTTTAAAAAAATAGCATAAAAAATAAAAAAAAAATTTTTTCTTTAAATATTTGAAATATTAGAAAATTCTTTAAATATTATTATAGACATAAAATATAATGTAAATTTATTGAAAATGCCTTTATGTTTTCATATTTTTATTGTTAAAATTAATATTTAAAAAAATGTCTAAAAGAAAAAAAAGGAAATTGTTTCATTTAATAAATATAATAATAATTGAATTTGAATGATATTATGATAAATAATTTTATGCAATCTATATAACGATTTTCAAACATTTCATTTATCTTGTAAATATAAATGATTGCTGTTATTTAAACGAGTTAAATAATTGTGCATGAAAATAATAATGCATTTTTTAGACATTGCAAATATAATTCAGGGTATTCAAATAAATGTGAAATTTTTTGTTTTCATATTATATTTTTTTACCTTTTCTCTCTCACTCTCTCTATAATTATATACGGGACGACGATAATACGCCTGCATAATACGCAATTTGTATTATATTGTATTAAATACACTTTACATTTCGTATCACCATTATTATAAGAAATGGTGTAACACTCACAAATATATAATATATTTCCTCATCACAAAAATATGTCTATCTCTGGTATCTAATACATTACGATCATTGGTCCCACATGGGGTTTTCAAATATATAATATTTGCATATATTATGACATCTACAACTTAAACATTATACCCTTCTGGTAGTTTTAACATTTCTGTTGATACTTTTTAACTTAAAAGAAGAAAAAAGAAAAAGATAATCTCCGAAAACAGAAGTCATCCTACACTCTGTTCTTAAAGTCAGGTACATCTCAAATAAACCCGGTAGTAGTTATCTCTTTCTCTTTTACGAAATTGTAATTTTTCAATATTATACAAAACGTCATTGTATTCGTTGACATTCTCAGTGTTCTTTAATATATCAAATTCATCGTTCGATACTATATAGTCAGAACAAAGTTCATTAATATTAAAGCAGAAATTAACGTTGAGTATAAAATACCGATACTATGTTAAACTAGGCATATATTTGTTTTTTTTTAATGCAGTAACTGAAAATTTTCATCATTCAACTGTTTTGAAAGATTTTTTCTCACAAAATATTAATAAATACAAAAATACATAGTACATATTATTGTATAATAAGTATTACATATTATTGTATATTTTCTATTGTATTAATTTTAAAGTAAAAGAATTATTATGAAATATATTATCTAACGCCAATAATAATCTCTCAATGATTGTCAATAAATATTCCATAATTTAAAGAATTTAATATATGCAAATGAGAAATACATTCGCATATATGGTACAAAGATCCATTAATAAAGTCATAAATCAAATAATTCGCGATATTATCTAAATTCAATAAGTCGAAAGTTTATTGATGAAAATATAAATTTTAATTTTTATATTTTTGACTCTTTGATATGACTTTTGATTTTTTACTTATTTATAAGTAGGAATATATTTTAATTATAATTGATCGATTTCTATAGAGAATATTGAAAAATTTGCTGTATATTCATTTACGCGTTTGCTATCGAAGAACAATATTAAAACTGCATTTTTGAATGAAATTAATATAAAAGAAGATAAATAAATTATATACTGTTTAACGAACGTAGCTATGTATTTAAATCTCCGGTAAAATAATCAAGGAACTTTGTCGATCGTTTTACGGGGAAGATTGTTTTTTTTTGCATCACGTTTAGATACATCTTGTATGAAAAATCGTATCTATATATATAAATGCGCTTCGTAAAACTCCTGGAAACTGTGTTACGTCTGAGGTTTTTTGCGTCTACCGAATAGATTGCTCAATACGGAACTTCGTTTGTAATCTTTCCGATTACCACCCGAACTTTGCTCACTTTCTGATCCACTCTCTGACGCTCTTCTATTGTCCACTGCGATTGGAGGCGTTTGTGGAGCTGCTGGTGGAGCGACATAAGGCGGCAACGATGTCGGTCTACCAGTGTAAGCATTGTTTTGTTGTTGTACACCCTGTAAAAGAATTATCAGTTGGGCTTATAAACGAAAGATAGTGAGATTTATAAATTTGTAATGAGAAATCGTTATAATTATCGTAACAGCCTTTTTTAATTTAAATATAATATATTGGAGTTTGGGTAATATTCTAAAATATATATTTTACAAAAAAAAATTACGAATGTAGTGGTTACAATTTCATAAAGTTTCGTAAAGTAAATAAAAAATATGTAAACTTTTTCTTTCTTTAATTCTCAAAAAAAAACTTTAACTTAATTTATTTAATATGAATTTGAAAAGTAGAAACTTACCTGCCTAATGTTTGGTACATTTCCATACGCTGTAACAAATAAAAAATACAATTAAAACATTTTCATTCCGTTAAATTAAGGTCACAAGTTGATGCAACATTTAATTAGAAAATTCTGCTAAAATAATTTTTTGTTATTATACCATAAACAGCTATATTTACAATTGTTATTATCGATCATATAAATTGTAGAGTTAGAAAATCAAAGTGCAGATATATTGGCAAAATGCGACATTAAATTAAAATTTTTGAAGTGCTTATATACACAAATAAATCTGTTAGTATTAATTTTTTGAGAGCTATGACTGTGTTTCAGTTAAAGGTTTATGTACATATGTAAATATTATAATTGATTCACATTGCTTTAGCATTTTACATCCCTTGCCAAATGCAGAAAAATTTTCGATAAGATGCGGATGTAGATGAGTGATGAAAATAAAAAAGTATTATATGTATAAACGCAGAATGAATGCATGCGATCTTCACATCGATCTCTTTTTATCGAATGTGAATGTTTTATAATGACTGACCAGAATCGTGAGGAATATTCCATTGAACCGTTCTAGTCGGCGGAGGAGCACTCGATGGCAATGGAGGTGCTAATTCTATAAAATGACGATGAACGTTCACGAATATCGACAAATATCGAATAGAATTTTCCTAAACCTTTTGAATCTTTTAATTTATATACAATAATAATGTACCTTGATGTTGTGGAGGAAGATCTACACTGTTTTGTCGATGCCATACTGGTGGCTCATTCGATGAATACTGGCTGGAACCATTGTGATTTAATGTTGCGCTTCGTTGTGGATAGACATTAGGCCTTCCTTGTGGTAAATGGTGTTCTATATCTATATATGATAACATTTAAATAAACCTTTACATAAAAAAATATAAAATTATAGATTATAATATGAATGCTTGAATAATTATTAAATATAAGATGTGAATACAATGCAAAATTTTGTTCTAAAAAGGCATACCATTTCGCCTGTATTGCACCATATTTTCCGAACTGGAACGCATAGGAATAGGTGGAGGAGCGCCTCGCGGCGGTATAGGCGGTTTGTCAGTTCCCAGCATCGCGGAATTCTGTTGATATTGATCCCGCTGAGCCGCCAGCTGTTCTTGCTGTATCAACTGATGCTGCTGCTGCTGCTGTTGCGCAAGTAGCTGTTGTTGCCTGTGCATCTGCAGAAATTCCGTCTGAGTCTGTGGTTGGTCAGATCTCTGTGACGCCAAGAACGTCTCGGAGTTTTGCGCGTCGTTGCGTCGTTGTTGATTATGTCGGTGCATCTGCAGGAACTCTATTTGTACTGAGCTGGGCGAGTATTGATTTGGCGAAATGGGATCGCGCCTAATCACAGAGTTCTTGCGTTCCATCTCCGGTGTGGAAGCGCGGCTACTTCCGGTCGACGCGTTGTCATCCGCGTGTTCGAGCTTCGAACCCTGCAACCTTTGCAAGCCTTCTTGCTGCATCTGAATTTAAGAAATAGAAATTTACTTTATAGTTCAAACTTTGTAGGATATTGAAATAAAGTATAATATATAAAAGATTAAAAGATTAAAAGATTGAATAAATAGTAATATTTCCTAAAAAGAGAGTTTATAGAAATTGTAAAAATATAATGATTTTATTGTAAACCTTTTGAGACTCGTCGTAGCTTAAGAGCTGCATACTTGGCGGTAATTTTGCATGAAATGAGATTTTATTAACCCAGTCTTCCATCTCCCCTTGACTTGGTGCTAAAAACAAGAATTCCGAACCGTCTGTGCATTTCAGTCGAAATACGTTTTTCTTTTTCGTGTAATCATCTGCTTTCTCGCATATAGCATTGAAAATTGTTATCGGGGCAGTAGCTGCTTTACTTAACGCAAAATCATCTGTATCCTTGAAGAAGCATAGCAGTTGTCCGCACAATACTGAAATGATTGTAAAATAAGAATAAGTTTAAGAATAAGGAAATACTTTACATTTATTTAATGAAGATACCAGTATAATACTGCTTCCACGATCGAACGGCTGCCTTTTTGCCAGCACTTTGAAGTTCGTGCTTTCGTTCAAGAAGACCTTGAATCTCGACTGGTCGCAGGGCGTCCATGTTCTCCATACGTTGCAGTTTTCGGAAGCTTTGCGTTCTTCGCCTGGTTGTGAAGCTCGGAGTTCGTTTTGGTTTTTTTGTATCCACTTTCATACTTTCGGCCCTCTTAATATCCGAAGTTGC